TTATAAGTTTAGAGTGCAAGAAGATGAAATTCTTTTCTCAAATTGAAATGATGTGCTCTTGCATTATGGCAGGATAATTCTCCCATAGAAAACACAAAACAAAATTCCACAAAGAGCGGCTGGTGCTGATTATTGTTTCTTCTTTCAGGTCGAAGGAAATGGAAATAACTTTTCCCATTTATAAAAAGGAGGGCAAACAACACGACTATCACACTATCGATGGTTTGAGTTTTCTTTCTGATGATGTTGTGGGTAAGTCCGGTTCCTACTGTCTAGCATTTAGAACAGCTACTTGTGAAATTTGTCGGTGTTTTCCAACCTGTTTGGGAGATCTGAATCATGTAATGTTTCTCAAAGACCACATGGTGGCGGTGTAACTGTTTGTCATTAAGGCATTTAATGCTTATTACTCACATGTCTATTTTCCAATATTTTAGACAACTCTGTTAAAAAAATGTATTTAAATGTAATTTTTTCTTAGAATATGTGAATTTTTTCTTGAATTGAGGAGGAAAGTGAGACAATTTGCCAATGGAATGAGACAATTTACATTTAGAATAAGAAAAAACAATTACATTGTCTTATTTCAAGTGCATAATATCTAACTATCTTACTTTAAGAGTAAAAATGTTTATTCCATCTGCAAATCATCTTATTTACCTACTTAAATTAAGGGGAAACGGTCATAATTTAATAAGTTTTTTACTTATTTTTTCTATATTATATTTGCAGTGCATAAAGGGAGATGGGATAAAGTGGCTTTAATAAGTACAGTTCTTAAAGTTTATCTGGTTTTATTTTCAAAAAGAAATCAAATGAAAGCCATTTACACACAGATATCCCTTCTTTATTTAACTTTCTTTATATAACTGTTCTAACTCTTCTCCTGGTGTTTCTTTTTCTGCCTGTGTGGGTCTCTACGGCAGCCTCTAAGAGCCACACCCACGGATCCATTTACCTTTGGAGCTGGAGCAGGACCAGGTCTCAGCGGCCGGACAAGAAGAACGGCTCTGTGTGTGCTGTGGTTCTGGCTGAGCTGCAGTGGGCCAACACTGACATTCCCTACCTGGCTCTAAATACCTGCCCAGGTAAATCAGGGATCCTGCTGAGTCTGGAAAAACCTGGAATCTGATTGAAGAAGAAAAAAGGCTGTTTTCCTTCCTTCCTTCCTTCCTTCCTTCCTTCCTTCTCTCTGTCTTTCATCTGTCCTTCCTTCCTTCCTTCCTTCCTTCCTTCCTTCCTTCCTTCTCTCTGTCTTTCATCTGTCCTTCCTTCCTTATTTCTGTCCTTCCTTCCTTATTTCTGTCCTTCCTTCCTTATTTCTGTCCTTCCTTCATTCATTCCTTCTCTCTGTCTTCCTTCCTTCCTTCCTTCCTTCCTTCCTTCCTTCCTTCCTTCCTTCCTTCATTCATTCCTTC